CATTCCATGCAGCGAGTTTCAGAGGTGTAATCTTAACTTTCATCTTTGATGTCTTGTTTGGCCCGCATGTGTAGGGCCCCCGCCGGCCACGGTAATCCGGCTAGGGTGATGTGGAGCAGGCAATGTTTAGGACACCTTTTCTAGCCCCTTCCTCATGCTAAGGGGGTGAGCAGTGCGATCCTAAAAAGGGCTGCTCAGTCGTCCACACAACTGCCGGACTCACCGCTGCTCCTTTCAGTGAAGAACGACCATATGGCCTGAGCCGCCTGTGTGCAGGGTTGCGGCTACGACTGCCAGTCTACCCACACCTGTCACTTCGTCGCGTGCCTGTCGCTACAGGACTTGGTAACGATAGAGGATGAAGGATGACTGATGACTTGCGCAGAAGTAGATTAAAGTGAAAATGACTTGCGCAGCATTATCCGCACTCTCTTTTCCAGAGACATGTGGATCCAGTGGCAAGACTGGGTCAATACGGCTGGAGATGAAACTGCGTGGATGCAGGAGTTGCCGGAAACTTGTCGAGCTTGGAGCAAGAAACCGCCTGCGGGACTCCACTCTGTTTGCTAGATGGCAGTTGGCTCACAGAGGAGCTCATCCGCCCTTTGACAGGTATTGTTTTTAATCCTGCTGCGTGTCTATAGAGGGTTCCGCGACTTGCAATAAAAATAGCAATATTACCTACAATCTCGTGCCGCCGGCCATACCGGTTCCAAAAAGAGCGTTGTGTTACCGATATGCGCAATCTACCGATTTTACATCGATAGATTGTACATACGATAGTGTTATTATATATAGTAATCTATATTAGCAATAAGTGGATCCACGTTTTGCAGACAGGTTTACCAGCGCGTGTTGGGGTGCTAGACTTCGATATGATTGTGCAGACCCGGTTTTACAAGGTGTTGCAGGCAGGTTTATCAGTGTGGGTTGGGATGCTATGAGAGTAATTCGATGAGGTTGCCGCACAGTCGGCGGATTGCTAGATTGAGCAGATCGGGAGATTCACACAACACATATCAATGCATCACTGGACTTGAGTTTGTTACATTGTGAGTGTTCCAGAAATTTAACCGATTTTTACTGGCATAAATTATAGCTATCAAACGCCAGCTCTTTTATCAATATCTTCGGTGTATGACATATGTGCGCAACTGCTGAAGTGTTACGTAGTATGGACAGAGGTACTTTTGATTCACTAGACAACGTTGCCAAGAGCACGTAACGCTAGTGTCGAGAAAATTGGCGTGCATTGGGAATCGACACACGTTACGAGATGGAGGCGAGACAACAACTGTGGCCTATCCACGTACTTA